TGTTTGACATTTATCAACTTGTGTCATTTCTGGCACTGACTGGCCAGACATTCAGCTATCTCTCAGAAGACAAGTATTCTATGTTGCAGTTCATTCTGTCGTGTTTTACGACGGTGATACATGGCCGTTAAAAGTAGAAGACACAAAGCGAATACTGAGTTTTGATCACATATGTCCTCGTAGCATCGTTTTTGTTTGGTGGAATCACCATGTGAACAATGTTGAAGTCACACGAAGGGTATTAGACAAGTCGATTAGTGAGGTTGTGGACCTTAGTCGACTGAAATATGGCTTGGACATGCACTGCGCATATCCAGCCACCGCCTGCCTCGACCTACCATACTACAGGAAGTTGGATTAGAGTTCAAGGTGGCTAGACCAAGACGTAGCACAGTCGGTGAAGTCCTTCACTGCTAGCCTGATTTATGTAGAGAGATGTAGGTTGCCTGATTAGGATCCTCTACAATAAAGGAATCAGTGGTTGAGGACTGACTCTTGGTGAGATGGCTGAAAATCCATCACGATGGCGCAGATGTATTCATTCCTTAACATCTAAAGCTTGAATGTTCGCACTAACTGTTATCTTCAGATTGTTTATTCTCTCACACAACTCGCTCTACTTTAATATCAGGCCTTTTCTATCCACCTGTTCTTTGTGTACCACTGTGAAATGTGGAAAGTTGAACCGATGCACTCGTGTGCAAGGTTCTACGTTGGTTTTGTCAGTTAATTCCTTCTTGCTTTGTACAAATTTAATCTAGAAGTGATGTGGAACAAAACAACGAATACATTCAGTAAGTACATGTTTGTGTGTTAGGCAATAAGGTATATCCTACTGTGCAAGCGTTAGTGATATTGACTGCCAAAATCTCAGTAGATGGAGTAGGCTTCAAAAGTGATTCACATAGTAACACAAATATTGGGCGCTGAGTAAAAGGTTGACATCCGGTATAGTTTATAGTTGTGTAAGTCACGTGCGAAACACTACAATTATTTCATTTGGAATACGCTGTGGCTTACACAATGTGTAGCCAACTTTTGGAGTATCGTGAAGAAACAGCTACAGTGAGTGATAGTTTCGAAGATCTTAACATTTTACATTTAGGAACTAAAGAAAACTTGAATAGAGAAAAGAGAACAATGAACATTAGCACAATGTAAATCATTTCAATCGCACAAATAAGTTTACCGGATTTTAGCCAATTTTATACTCACATAACTTTATCAATTAGGAAATTCAATGGTGATATTGTGATACATAGAAACTGGTGTGAAATTCGATATACTATGCCTCTTTGAAAGTCTGTATCAATACCTTCCAATTTAATGTTTTAGATTCACACCGATGTGATTTATGTAATTGAAATAGCTGGACTTGCTTACCTCAATGACTCAACAAGTATTGTGTTGGTGTTGGCAAGTAAGTCGTAAGAATAACAGAGGCTAAAGGTAGACTTGTACTACCGGTTGCACAGTAAGATGTTACCTTCAGGTGACTAGTATAATCGAGTATTATGCTTTTCAGCTCCGTGGAGTTGTAAAAGATCTAACCAAAAATGATGCGTTACATCTCGTCACTGGTGGTAATTTTAATAGCGAAACAGCTCTAGCAGAAGCAATACTCTTAAAAAGGACTGTATGATCTGTCTCAAGAAGTTTTCTGCTTTCAGGTCATATGAGAAAAATTCACATCGGGATGTGAAAATCAACTGCATTCATCTAAAAACACTCAAGTTTCTCTGGTGATCCGTACCATCCTTTGACACCTCAATATAACAGCATATGCTTATTGAACTGTCCAACAGTTACTGTGCAGAAAACTGAAAACCAAAAAGACAAATTTAAGAGACATTCAAATCAAAATAAGCAAGCAAAATAATTTCATATTAATTACTGGTCACAGTTTGTCAATCATTGTCATCATTATATAATGATGGTAACAATAACAATAATATTTATAATCAATTATTAGGACAGGCAAAAAAATATATAAAAAGGTAAAGTATTCAGATAACGAACAAGAGTTACACAAAGATCACCGATCAGAACGCATCATCAGGTCACACAATCAAACACATACACACACACACACAGAGAAAGAAACAATTGAAACAAAAGCTAAATGCAGATAAACAAGGGACAGGAAAGACAAGGAAAAGAAAAGAACTAGATGTATGTGCACCCATGTCTACAACTAGAAACAGACAAAATAATAATGATAGTATTAATAATGACCGAGCATCATTCATCATTACATAAGAATAAAAGACTGTTAGTGTATATGCATATATAGAAGTTATTACGATATATATATATATATATATATATATATATATATATATATATATCAGGTCCTTCAGGGTGGTATAACAATTATCATCATCTGTATGAGTATAGAAACATGTATAAATGCAGCAATAAACTGGAAACATCTCAAAACCAACCAATCCATGGATCCACTCATGTATATACAAACATAATAACCAGTCTAACAAGTTTTCAGAACATCTTTAAACAGAACAAGTCATGAAGACATAACGAAACAAAATAGTAATAATAATAATAATAATAACGATAGAACAAACCAACTTTAATCAGAATTCAAAATAAAAACAAGTGTTGAATTGAAAAATAAACAAATGCAAAGAAGAAAAACAACAATGCAGTACTAGTGAGAACAAAAGTAATAACCTCACCAGAGAAAATGAAACAGAATAAACATAAATACCACGAAAATAAAAAGTCAATGCATGTGTGTGTGTGTGTGTTTACATAATCGATTTATGAAATGCTGGATGACTAGAGGGAACGAGAATGCAAAGGCAGACGATTACAATAACAATGAAACACATGTGAAGGGAGAAATAATAGGCATAATAATAATAATAAAGGTATTCTTGTTAAGGATGTACTGGAAATGCAAGTCAACCATTGAAAAGATTATCACCAAAATGCATAGAAGACTGCATCCACAGGCGTGTGTGATATACCCATAAACGCACGTGAATAAAATAATAAATCAGCTAATAATCTCTTACACACATTTAACACACTGGGGAGAATGGAGGAGGGGGCTGGATAAATGCGATACACAATGGAGGCAAGTAGAAGAATATCTATATGATATGCCGGTGATTTAAGAAGAGAAATGCGTCAAAGGTGTATAAAAAAAAAGAAGAGAAGGAAGAGGACAAAATGTGCCGCTTCTTCACATCGTCATCTACCTTTCTCCAAAAAAAGAGGAAGTAACACAACACGCAAAAGAGAAACCAATGTAGAATAATAACTGGCAAACAACTGAGTACATGTCATGATCAAGAGGAATAATGACAGTAAGGATTCAACCAACAGCTTTTATACCACGATTTGTACAACTTGGATAACAATATGCCTCTATTTTACGCATATATAAAACGTGAACAGCGATCATCAGCAATATAAACAAGCAATTATAATAATAAGTATTGGTATGTTGTAGAAATTAGAAAGCTGACAGGAACAAATTTTTAGTGATTACGTTTGCAAGAACGATTATAACATGACATACTACTACAACAACTACAATTACCGATATACGCATAAGAAAGAAGTAGGCATTTTTATGTTACATAATCATTTCTCAAATGCACACACACACACACATGCATACAGATAGACATTTTGAAATCTTTGGTAAAATATAAATAAGTTAACAGTAATACTTTAGAGGAGAGAAGGGGACATTCACAGAGAGCTAAGAAATGAAAGCGGGGGTAATGCTGATTATAATACATAGATAATATGCAGGGTATTTTTATCAGGAAGTCAAACAGAAAAATCACATAACAACACAAATAAGTGAATAAAATCTCAGTTGATATAGAGTTGTTGTTGTTGACTAGTTTCACACTGATGAAATGCAAAAAATGTGTCAAGAAGAGAAAGGAATAAAAATAACAGTAACAAGTGTTGGCGTGAAATACAATTCTCAACAACAACAACAACAGTAAAGATAGTGAAGTAAGCGTTTTCTTTAATCATATCCCGCCTCTCTTCATCACAAGTGAGTAAATATACTCCAATATGCCGACAAAATTGAAACACGGTTACTTCTCAAGAAAGAGAAATAAATAAATAAATAAGTAAATAAATAAATAACAATAATGGTAGTATGTCAGTAATGCATAAATGCCCACAATAATGAAGTTAGTTAGCCGTGTTCACCATACAGAACCATTATTAATTACATTGAATTATGAGACAAAAAGGCCTGAATTGGTAACAAAATAGATAAGATTAAAGAGAATGCACAGAACACAACACAAGAAAAAACAGAATATTTGGTAATGCCATGTTTCGTCAGTTTTGAAAGCCTCATCAGAAGTGCATCCTTTTTCTATACATTATACATAGACACACGATTTAAAAGAGGAGGGTTATTAACAAGTACTATTTTAACATAATTTTAGAAGTTGTAGTGTCTGCCTATTCCTGCTTTCTTTTTTCATCTGTTCGCGTACATGCACGATAATATTGGCGTGTGTGTGTGTGTGTGTGTGCATGTGAAATAGGTAACATATAAGCGAAGAAGAAAATTAAACCACAACAAAGCAGAGCATTAAGTCAGTAGAGTAAAAAAACAAAAGAAAAGAAGGTGTATATCACTTTGTCAACAAGAAAAGCAAAATAAAAGAATAAACAAGAACAATCACAGACTAAATACTTCTTTTTAAAGGATAATTATTATTAGATTATACAAAGCCAAATGCATTGAACCAATTGATGAATAGTAGAAATACGAAGGATCATAATGATAATAATAAATACGTTGCTGTAGGCAGAATGAAGTTATCCATCCATCTATACTTTGAAAATGATTAGAACAGAGACTGGGACGCATACAAGCATAGTAACCACACACTGAAATATCATTAGGAATGAACAATAGGCAATCGGGATATTATGTTTATGCTGAAGGGAAATCAAAAGGAAATTTAAGTTGTATATATATATCACTTCAATTAATGAGCAAGCCATTTCGTCATTACTTTATCTCCATATGCTGGAATATTGGAATGAGTACGAGTTGGAGAGGTTGGTGCACTATGTGTTGGAGGAATTGGACTAGTAGATCCCGATGGAATGGTCAATCGTGAAGTGGTACACGATAAATAGGATGGACATGATGTTGTACTCTCAGGATTTGAAAGTGGGATAGTTGCTTTCAGATTAAAAGTATCTAGATTGAATTGAAGATGACTTTCAGGTGAACCACTAGAAGATAATGTAGTCTGTGTGGTTGTTACTGTTGTAAGTGTTGGTGTTGTTGTTATCGTCGTCGTCGTCGTCGTCAGCGTTGTTGATGCTGGTGCTGGTGGTGCCGGTGAAGATGGAGGAATAAAAGATCCAGTATTTTGATAAGCTGTACTAGATATATGCATACCTCCTATAACAGATTGTAAAGGCTGTTGTTGACTAGGACGTGTAGTATGATAACGCATAACACTGTAGTCTACATTAAGACAATCGAAATCAGCAAAAACATCCTGTGCTATAGCAGCCAATTCAGAAGAATTATCAGATGGAGTCAGTACAGGTTCTTCAGTGGTGAAATCCTAAACAAAATAAATAAATAAAACCAGTACAACTTCAATAACTGTTAGGGACAATGGTTTCAGCGATCAGTAGTTTCCAGTGGATAATCTATCTAGTGCATAACTCCATTTAAAAAATGGATAGACAGAGAATAACAAGCCCTTTTATCGTGATAAGTAGTGTACATTAGTCACCATGTACGAGCTCCAGCACTGAACGACAATTTACACTGATAGCATTCGAACTTGGTTGGCGAAAGTTTGGTATATACTGTGGGGGGGGGGGGATCAAGTCCGATGACTAAAAGTCGAGAAACTGAACTAAATTACAGTTTAACGATCAGTTTTATTAAGAATAATAATTAAAATGTGACTAGTTTTCGCTTGTAAGTAACATGGTTTGACAGATCAATAAGTCGGCGGCTGGAGAATATGAATCTCAATCTAGCAGCATAGAAGCTACTACTAGCTTCTATGCTGCTAGACTGAGACTGATATTCTCCAGACGCGGTCTGATTCGTCAATGCGTGAAGGATAGGCTTCCACTTATGTCCACTTCTATGTAAATCAATAAGTATAAGATATTGGTTTCTCCCTAGTTTGTAGTCATTAGGACTAGGTATTCAATCTATGGCTACTTTCCAGATTGAATATAGTCAGTTTGGGTATAGTGATAACTGAATATTTTCGGTTTATTGGTGGAATATGCTAAGGTTTCACACTGATGAAAAAAAAAAAACAACTAGACTGTTGTTAATTGAACTGGACAGTCAACGATTCATTCATTAGTCAAAGGATTTAAGTATTTACAAACTACCACTTTACCTATGAAGTTTCGAAATGAATTCACCCTCAACTCTTTACACACACTTGTATTCAATTAATTCTTCGCAAAAAATCTAGACATTGAAACTAGACAATACACTTGAAATGTTTTCATAATTAAGATACTACAATAAACAAATTTAAAGAAAAGAAAACTGTCAAAAATCATACATCATACCTTATCAAAATTGCTTGTATCTATCCTGGAACGAACTTTAGGACGAAATGGTGGACGTACTCTACGTTCTTCTAATATTTGCCAATCTATTTCTCTAAAGAATGGATGTCGTTGAATAGCCAATTCACCACCATCAGCTATAACACATCCAAGTCTTCGAGCTGGAGATTTCACTAAGAACTAAACACACAATAAGGGGATTAATTTGTAAAGACATTTAGTCACACACACACACACACACACACACACACACACACACACACACACACACACACACACACATCCATAAATTGAAGAAGTTGGTGAAGAAAAGAACAACAACAACACCATCACGAGGACAGTATTGAAAAGAGAACAAAACGAAACAAAAGATAGTTGAACAAAAGGGTACAATTTTACCACAACAACTCTTGATCATTTAGAATAGTGAAACAGTCTGAATTTCATTTTATTCACTGAATATTGTACCTGGTTGTTATATAATTGAAGCACACATTCTAGTTCGTATTCTATGACTCAATAAGGTGTATATACACTACTGAACAAAATGAGCAGTAACAAATCACACATGTTGATATGCAGGGTAATTTTTAAACATTTCATAGTGTACTCAATCTCATCCGTGTTAGCTAGCTACATTCAGTTGATCTGAAACAACTGGTTGAGCGACTTTAAATGTCATCCTAGCAACTGGTGAGATAACCAATCAGACTACCTTATTTTATGAAAATCAGCCGAAATGGAGAGACCAAATTGGTTATTTCGATCATTGCTAGGGTAGCCTTTAAAGTCCCCCAACCGGTTACTATTCTGTGAGCTGGATGTGTTACGGCAAATTTTTGATGAGCTCATTTTTGGATAAACCAAACTCCTGTCAGATATACTTTGGTCTGCTTCATAAAATTTGCTAACCAACAGAAGTGATTTCCAACCTCTTATATTATTTGCTAATGTGTTTTGTTAACTCGTAACACTTGAGTTAGAGATCATATTTTGTGATCATAGCTGTAGTTTTCAATCAACGCGAACCCAGTTGTAACTATGGCTATATTATTTTTTGCTGGTATGCTTGTGATTCTCCGTTGGCATATGGGCTCCTATGCGGATGCCTTGATATTGCCTGAATGTTTATTACGGAAATTTACTTCGTTGTGGTTAGCAGAGGAATCCAGGACGCGCGTTTCGTCCTATTTGGGATTCGTCAGCTGGATGTACCTGCACCCCAGTGAGTGATGTTATTCCCACTGAGATTCGATCCTCGTACCCATTGCTTCAAACACCAAGGCGTTACCCACTATGCCACGGAGGCACGATAGGTACTTTTTGTACAACAGGTATTAATTATTACTGTTTACGGATATGCCTATAATTCTCGGTAGTTTTACTCGGTCAGATTGTTCGAACTCTATTGACATATGGCTGTATTGTTGGTGAAATACTCAACCGTAAGAAATTTCAACGTGAAACATTATTATTATATTATTATTATTATTAGTCCCTTGGGTTCCGAGTGGAACATAGGGCTTCAGTAGCACGCCTCCAGTGACCTCTGTTCTCTGAGATCTTTTGAACCTGGTTCCACGACAGCCCAGAAGCTCTCATTTCCTCCTCGCATGACCTCCTCCATGTCACCCTCGGACGTCCAACTCGTCGCTTCCCATAGGGATTCCACTCGAGGGCCTGACGCGTGATGTCCTCAGTCGGCCTTCTCAGTGCATGCCCAATCCATCTCCACTTCTTCCTGCATATTTGTTGCGTGATAGGTTCTTGGTTGCTTCGTTCCCAGAGTTCCTTGTTGCTTATTTTTTCTGGCCATCTGATCTTCAGCAACGAGCGTAAGCAGTTGTTGATGAATGTCTGTAGTTTATTGGAAATACCTTTCGTGGCGCGCCAAGTCTCTGAGCCATACAAGAGCACTGACTTGACGTTGGTGTTGAAAATCCGTATCTTGTTCCGCATGCTGAGTGCAGAAGATCTCCACACTGGTTTCAGGCTAATGAACGCCTGTCTTGCTTTTCCGATTCTGACTTTGACGTCCTCGTCCGTCCCGCCTGTAGTTGAAACAGTGCTTCCTAGATAAGTGAAGGAGGTTACTTCCTTCAAGTTTCTCCCGTTGACGGTGATTGGAGTTTGTTGTTGTTGTTGATGGTGGTGGTGCGGTATCTTCATCACTTCTGTCTTCTCTATATTCACCTGAAGTCCCGTCTTAGCTGCCTCTTCTGTCAACTTGTTAGTTTTTGCCTGCAGATCTTCAAGTTTATGTGACATTAGGCACAAGTCATCGGCGAAATCCAAGTCTTCTAGGTTCTTTTCCGTCGTCCAGTGTATCCCCCTCTTCTCGCTGCCTACTGTTTGCTGCATGATCCAGTCCACCACAATAAGGAATATCATGGGGGATAGTAGGCAACCTTGTTTCACTCCTGTCTTCACTTCAAAGGCATCACTGAGCTTCCCATTGTGGATTACTTGGCATGTGGCATCTTCATATAGTTGTTGAATGAGGCGGATAAAGGTTTGCGGTACTCCGTAGTATTGAAGCAGTTTCCAAATTACTTCTCGGTCGACGCTGTCAAAGGCCTTCTCAAAGTCGATGAAGTTGAGGTAGAGAGCTGATTGCCATTCTACGCTCTGTTCTATGATGATACGAAGCGTTGCAATTTGGTCAGCACATGATTTGTACTTCCTGAAGCCTGCCTGTTCCGGTCGCAGTTTTGAATCCAGTGCGTCTTTAAGCCTCTCCAGGATGATGCGGCTTAATATTTTACTTGGGGTGGACAGGAGAGTGATTCCGCGCCAGTTCTTGCAAGCACTGAGGTCTCCCTTCTTCGGCAGTTTGACAAGGTAACCCTTCTTCCAATCGTCAGGTACCTTCTCTTCCTTCCACACCTTCTGCAATAGTGGTGTGAGCATGTCCGCTGTTGTCTCTGCATCTGTTCTCAGTGCTTCTGGCGGTATTCCATCTGGTCCTGCTGCTTTCCCACCTTTCAGTAGCTTTATGGCGTTCAGGACTTCCATTTTCGTTGGGGGATTTATGTTCACTTGTAATTCAGCGGCTGCAGGTGGTATTTCTGGACGAAGTGCAGGTGGTGGTCGATTCAAGAGCTTCTTGAAGTGGTCGGCCCATCGTTTCCTCTGTTTCTCTTCTTTTGTAATTAAATTTCCTTCTTCATCTTTTATTGGTTTCATCTGTGTTGGTCTCTTCCCTGATAGCAACCTGGTTATTTGATACAATGTCGTCAGGTCTCTCTTACCTGCAGCCTGTTCTGCTTCACTTGCCAGTGTGTCGTAGAAGTGTCTTTTGTCTTTGCGTGCACTCTTCTTCACTTCTTTGTCCAGTGTTTTATACATTGTGCTCAGTTCCTCTTGTCGTTGAGCATCCTTGCACTGGTTTATCTTCTGCTTCACCATCCTCCTCTCCTCTATCAGCTTCCAGGTATCCGTCGAGATCCATTCCTTGTCTTCTTTCTTCTTCCTTCCTAATACGGCTGTGCAGGTTTCTTTCCACACAGCTTTCAAAGACTTCCAGTGTTCTTCCACACAGGTTTCTTCAGGGATGTCCCTCGACGTCTCCCATTTTGTCTTGATGGCTGCTTTGAAGATCTCCTTTGTAGTTTCATCCTTCAGTTTCCGAGTGTTGTACTTGAATTGAGGTCTATCACCAGCTTCCTTGAAGGCTTTTAACTTGATTTGGAAGGTTCCTTGCACTAGATAGTGGTCTGAACCTACATCTGCTCCTCTTCTTGACCTTGTGTTAAGTAGACTGCGTCTCCATTTTCTTGAGATTGAGATAAAGTCGATTTGATTTTTAGTGTGTCCATCTGGTGAAGTCCATGTCGCTTTGTGGATATCCTTGTGCCTGAACACACTGCCTCCAATCACCAAATCGTTGAATGCACAGAATTCTGCAAACAATTCTCCATTCTCATTCATTTCACCTAGCGCCTCTCGACCCATGGTTAGTTCTCTTCCCGTATTGTCCCCTCCCAGTTTGGCATTCATGTCGCCCATTAGAATTTTGATATCGCCAACTGACGTCTTGTCCAGTGTTGATTGAAGTTGTCTGTAGAAATCCTCCTTTTTCTCTTGCTCTGCATTATTTGTAGGTGCATAACATTGTATGATTGTGACCTTTCTTCCTTTTGAGTTGAATCTTGCTGTCATGATCCTGGAGGAGATTGGTTCCCACTGCATGAGAGCCTTCGATGCTCTTGAGGACATCATGATAGCCACTCCCTCAGTGTGCTCGTGGTTGGCGTCTGGGTGACCGGAGTAGATTATTGATTCTCCAGTTGACAGTTTGGAGAGTCCACTCCCATTCCATCTGCTTTCGCAAATCCCAAGCACTTCGATGTTATACCTTCTCATCTCCTTTGCAATCTGGGCTGCCTTACTGGGTTCAAACATCGTGCGGACATTCCATGTCCCCACGTTTACTTTCGCTTTCATCGAGAGAAGACACATCGGCCAATTGGCTTCCCGAAGGCTTTCACCAACTGGCGTCATTTCGCCTCTCCGATTCCAGCGGGGTATAAGTTTGTTTTCATTTTTTATATTTTGTTTGTGCTTTGAAGTTTCTTTAGCGGTTAGATTTGTTTTACGGGGTAGGGTTGCTAGCCCTATGCCCAACCTTCCCTCTTTACCCGGGCTTAGGACCGGCTAGTAACTAGTAAACTAGTTAACCAGGCGAGGTTCAGGAAACCTGGGAGCACTGGACAGCTGTTTCGTCCTAGTATGGGACTCCTCAGCAGTGCGCACCCACGACCCCGCCAGCAGGGATCGAACCCGCGACCTTCAGGTTCTGCGACCAGCGCGTTACCATTGAGCCACTGGGTCAAAAGGCTTGCCCATTATAGTTATATAAAAATGTGGCATTTGCCGATACGGATTCACTTGCTGTTGATTCATCTCTAAGGAATAACACACATCATGATGATGGCTCAGTTTGAGTCATACATGGCGCAATCATCCTAATAGTTGCAGATTCTTAACATTATCGATGAATTGAATTTCTTTTACGCTTACTCTCAACATTGTTCCCTATCTCCACATTTCAAAGAAACATGTCATCCATTCTACAACAGGCATTAGGTAACCAAACAAACCTCCACTTTTCCCATCCATTAGTCATAAAACCATTGAAGTTGCAAAAAACATTAAATTATCATCTCTAATATATAGCTGTAAATAATTTCTTTACTCAGCAAATATCCAGTAAAAATAAGCCCGAAGAAGGTAGGTTAAAATAACTGGTTCATTCAGTACTTCTACAAGGAGATATACAAAGTCAAATCAAAAAGTTGAAATCCACTTAGTAATCACGTGTACATTCATACAATGGGCGATGAGCCGCATCATCATATGTGAGGGACAATGACACTACTTGACTAACCAGACCTCAGTAGATGGAGCCAGGGTTCGGGCTCGTGACTCACAACTCCACACTTCACCAGTGGTTAACACCTAAGTTGGAACGATCCATCACAAAACAAATACAGACATTCTCAGCAAATAATATGCATCCTTATACACTAAGCAAGCAGTGAGCTATGCCTATTGTGTAAGAACTATTGAAACAACCTAACTGCGTAAACCTCGGTAGATGGAGTTTGATTAGAGATTATCGTGAGACATTGATCAAAAGTCAACTACCTAGACTAATAAGCAGCATAGCTCTACAAGAATAATGAGTAAAGTTGATCAATCAAGGCTCGACTACTACTGGTTCAAATGTTTATAGACCCTACTAACTGTAAAAAAAGAAATAACAAGAAAGTAGTACTTAACCTAAAAAAATTGTTGTAGTTCATAATTTAGTGCATTAACTGGAACAGGATGATCGGTTTATATTTGCCTAAGTATCAACTGAAAGGATTTTCCAAAAAGTTATATTAGTATGAAAACAGTGAAATAAATCACTTGTAATTTATTACTGATTCTATGCGCACACACATACAATGATCATTTTGCTTACTTTTGATAGAATATCCACAGCATCTGGGTGTAAATTTGGTGGATAGTTAACTTCTTCATATGAAATAGCATTGAATAAGTCTTGTTCTGTATCACCTTCAAACGGTGGAGCACCAGCCATCATTTCATACATTAGAACGCCTAAAGCCCACCAATCCACACTGAATCCATAATCGAGTTCAGCAAGAATCTGTTAAAAATATAAGATAAAAAGACTTGTCTTAAATGCGGTTAAAAACCTTACATGACAGAAGAACAGATAAATGTACAATTTGGAGCAGAAGTGTATCGGTTCAAGCTTCAACACTCCACAGTAGTATGCAAGGAAGTGAAGAGGAGTGTTATTACGGTAGGCAATAGTTTATGACAGAAGAAACAATAAGTCGATAAAGATTAATGAAAATATTCAGAAATTCGATGAAAAGTGTTTACATCTGTGATGCTATCACGAACTGGTGCCATATTTCGGTCTGAGCACCTCAGCCATTTTCCCAATACAATCCTATCTCTGCTAACATTGCCTGACAAGGTAGATGGTGGGTTGGGGGGGGGGGGGTATAACATATGTCCAAGCCACCTTGGTCAAAGGTTCATAATTTCATTGCCTGGTTACTCTCTCTGTGCTTATCATCAACATTGTTCACACGATGACTTCATCACACACAAGCCTTCTGAGCTATAATGAGTTGGAAGACCAACATCTATATTGCATTTAGGTTTAGGGTTAGGACGGCGGTAGGCTGATTGAGTTGTTCTTCAAAGTGTTCTGCACCTGTCCTTTGACATTATTAGTAACTCTTCATTTTCGGTGACAGTCCCGGTGATTATCATCTTCGTGCCAGCTTGTATGACACCATGATGTGGTAGATTCTATTTGGTGTAAGATAATTAGAATTTAGTCGATATTAAATCTTCCCTTCAACTGACGTAAGATAGTGAAATAATGTAGGAGACTGTCGTTTTTATACAATGCAATATCTCAAAATACTGCGGTTACATATTTACGGCAATGGAAACACGAAAAGAAGACTTTTAACTGGCATGAAGCAATTAACAGTGATTATGGTGCATCAGTTTGATAGGTAGAAAATTAACACTGTGTCCAATAGACACTTGTCAAACTTACCAATGAGCTTAAACAATGTATCAATCTAAGATTCTTCAACAAGTCACGAAAATGATAACTACTTAGTGTTCTCAAAGCTTTGAAATTTATTCTTGGACGTTTCTTTATAAAGCGCAGAAGCGAATTCCCCCCCTTAGCATGGTGATGAAATATCCAAGTACAATAATCAAAGTTTGGAGAACATTGAAACAATTTATCATACTTAGCAATCATGACATGTATAGATTCAGCTTTTAAGCCATCTAGTGAATATACTATAGCAGATAAAAAGTTAATATTAACCTGAACAGTACAATGTTGTGTCAGTTCATTAATTTCACTGGAAGAATAGAAAAGTCCTCTTGCTAGGATTTATTAGCATATCGCTAAGACTTCGAGATTGAAGACTCTGTAAGTACTTAACGTAACGACACGATTACTCATTACCTTTTGAATAATGGACACAATCAGACAGTCTTACATCATTTGAAGCAATCAATACACAAAAAAGTAAAAACTTATTACGATTTACTAAAGTTATTGTTATCAAAAGGCTTAAACCCAATTAATGTATTCGAAAGGATAGTTGTCACTCTTTCAATGCTCTGTTGAGTACACTTTTACAACATATATCTAAAATATTGGTTATCATTTTTACATCCTTTTTCTCCTATCCCATCTAAAAACCACGCTTTTGTTATCTGAAGATTGTTCATTGAACACTTTCAGCTACTACTATGAGTTTGTCAATCTCTTACAGTTACGTAATCTATGGTGTTATGTCTAGTTATTTGTTTCGTTTCACTTCTCAATCACCCGTAAGAATATTCACTTAGTCATAACCTAGCAATTAGTCAACCATCTGAACAATCTTTACAATTTACTTTTTGCTAACTGGTCTATATCATTCTCAATCTTTGCTACTCCCTGTTTTCATATTGCTACCAGCTAGGGTTGGAGATGGTAGATGGGAGATTACCACTCTTTTTGAATGTATTTGGACAGAGATCACGCATATGCCTGTGTCTAAATGGATATGTTAAAACCACAGCAACAAGACTATTCCAAGAGCAGCTCGATGATGAGAATATTAAGACTGCTTTCAGCAAGAAACTGGCTACACAGTTATCGAAACACGATAACCTCATTTATTCAGAATGAGCATGGTATCAATACCAATCTGTTATTAGAACAGCGTTAATGATTACATCTGACCCCCAGAAAAGGATACAAAAGGTCAGTGAATCTCAGCAGCTTCTTCTCAATCAATAGACATACGCGAACACCTTCCTGCTGCCTTATAGTACAATAAAGAGGAGAAGCAACGCAAATGTAGGCTGGTTAGAAGTTGACGGAATGACCACGAGCAGTGGCGGGTAGCGATACAAAAGGTGGCGACGATAGGTAGCATTATACAGCTATTTAGACTTATTAAGGAAACTAATGAGAAAAGGTCGTTGGTTAGTGCAACAATAGCGGGGAAGGATGGGTTTGCGATACACTCATAGGAGACGATTGGAATAATTTAACTGGCCTCCAACTACTATCCTGTTAATCGGTATCCAGTCAGACTCTAAATCAAACATTGAGATATGGCTTTCAAAACTTAGAAATCCGGAAGGCTGTAAGTAACCGGAGATGAGGAATGTCAAGACTGCTAGATAGGTTAATATCAGAGGTTTTTAGGGACAGTGGTCGAGAATTATCGGTTGCATTGACTAAAATGTTAGCTATCGTAAGGGAATCAAAAATGAACCACTGTTATTCCTGTCTGCAAGAAACGGGAGAAATCCTTCTGTGATAACCATGGTGGAATCAACCTAAGGAACATAATGTGTAAGATCCTAGACTCTAATCATTAAACGCCTAAGTGCACTTCGGTAACAGAAAACACGAGAAAACTAGGCCTGATGAAGACGTAGTAATGGAAATATCGACCTGATTTTCACTCTCCACCAGGTTTCGGAACATAGGCACACTTCCACATACCAAACATTAGTTGTATTTCTTCATCTGAAGTTGGTATTCGGTTCCATTAATCGAGATAATTGATCTCTTTGTCTATCCAACTATTTTATTTTGACGACACTCATTTGTACTTCACTATAGTATTGGTGCATTGTAACAATGCGTGAGATAACTGAATCGTTATTTACATTTCACATATTGAAACCCTCAAGCTAATTAAGTAGCAGATACTCTAATGCATCAGTAATATATGCTACAACTGTTAAATACGTTAGGACTTGAGCTTTAAAAAGAATTATGCTGAAATTAACTGTAACTTAGTAACCATGTACAACTCCATATATCTGACTCTGTAACTGGTATCTGACTGACTGACTGGCAAAATCAACGTAGAACCTTGCACATAAGTGCATCGGCTCAACTTGCTACACTTCACAGTAGTACACAAAGAACAGGTGGATAGAAAAAGGAGTGATATCAAAGTAGACAAAGTAGTGTAAGAGAATGAACAATCTGACGATAAACGTTAGTGTGAATATTGAAGTTTTAGAAGACGTCAAGGAGTGAATACGTGTGCGCTATCATGACCCATTTTCAGCCATGTGACAAAGTTTTCTCAACCACTCATTCCTTTCGTCTCGAAGACCCCAGCCAGGCAGTCTACATCTCCCAACATGACTTAAGCCAATAATCAGGAATTTCGTCGACTGGCGTTAGGTCTTAGTCTAGCCACTCTGATCCCTTTTCCAATGTAATCTGACTTCCCCTAGCATGGCACGTCGAGGTAGGCGCTGGCTCGGTAGGCGCAGCTCATAATCAAGCCATCTCAATCGGCTAACGTTGACAACCTCGTCAATCGACTTGCTTGTCTTATCTAGTACCTTTCGCCTGACCTCAACATTGCTCACACGGTGATTCCGTCAGATGCGAGCAATGCTACGAAGACACCTCTGGTCGAAAAACTGTGACTGTTTAATGTCCCCTACTTTTAACAGCCATGTATAAACATCCGTACAACAGGATAGAAAGGACTGCAGCACAGTATACTTGTCTTTTGGCATCTAGTGCATATGGGTATATAAAGGCTGATTAAATTTGATTTAACTATTGAAATCTGCGTAGGTAAGGCAGATTTCGAACTAACAACTTGATAGCCGAAATCGATGACCTGAATAATTGTAAGTTCACAGTTCAACATCATAGTAATAACACTTACCTCTGGTGCAATATAATCCGGTGTGCCACAGAATGTTGATGTTGTCTTTCCTGGTTTCATGCCTTCTTTACACATACCAAAATCAGCTAATTTACAGTGTCCTTCAGCATCCAACAAGATATTGTCTAATTTTAAATCACGATAAACAATATGATGATCATGCAGAAACATTAAAGCTAAGATAACTTCAGCAGCATAGAATCTTGCACGAGCTTCATCAAATCGACGTGCACGTTGAATTTGAAACATTAAATCACCACCATTCACATATTCCATAACAAAAAATAAACGATCCTATAATTTGTAGGCAAATAGAAGTAGATAATAAAAATCCTGGTGAAGTATTGATATAGGTAATAATACTTTCTATCTGGAGGTTTGTGGAGGTTTTATTAATTGATTTTAGGAACTCATCATGAACTGACTTCAGCTGGAGGGACATCACAAACCTGGGAGAACTGGACAGCTGGTTTATCCTAGTATGCGACTCCTGAGCAGTGAGCACCCATGAACCCGTCCGACCAGGGATCGAACCCACGACCCTCAGGTTCCGTGACCAGCACGTTACCATTGAGCCACTGGTTTGGAATTCAGTCGTCCACATTTCCTACTTCTATCAGTTCACAACATAGTGCGACCTACATCCAATGTCGTCCTTGAGTAACTGTCCTCATGTTCGACTTGCTTGACTCCACAGGTCACGACATTTTATTGGAACCTCAGGAATCACCTTTCGAAGCTAGCCATCAGAATAACGAAGTGTGGACGATTGGATTCCGATCCAGTTGATCAACGTGCTGGGCACGGAACCTGATGGTCTTGGGTTCGAGCCCTGGTGGGGTGGGGTCGTGTGTGCGCAATGCTCAGGAGTCCCATACTAGAGCGAAATAGCTGTCAGGTGCTCCCAGATTTCCAATGTTCCTTCAAGTGATGTTAATCCATGATGAATTCCAACCTAAAATACTTTTTTCCAAACGAAAGATGCTCCAACACAACCGATCGGATACCGACCTATGCCATTCAGATATCCACTTAAGCATTATATATTGCGAATGCAAATAACTTGCTTTCCGAGTACATTTTATGAAGACGTATCTCCTTGACTCAATTTTTTTATATTTTCAACCACTACGTTGCAGGCTAGAACCTCACTCAATCCACTTCGCTGTAAATAGGCAGGTAGTGCATGAGGCACCACGTTATGGTTCATATTCTACTACATAAAAAATCTATCGACCAGTCGAGTCCTATTGTATTGCTTACTAGAATGTAAAAAGTTAACAATATGACTGTATATTTTAATGATGAATAGAGGCTAGCAGTGGAATCCAGGATATGCATTTCGTCCTATTTGGGACTCATCCTAGATTCCACTGCTACCCGCAATCCATCGTTATATAATATACAAAAACCAAACATAGGCAATAGCTAGGCATCTGCGTAGGAGTCCATTTGCCAATACAGACTAATCAATTCAGTCCACTCAACGACGGGATAATACAAGCAATAAAATTGATATGACTGTATGCTGTTGTAAATAATACAACTCAGCATATCGACATAGATTTGTGAACTAGTAGATAAGTGATATTTCAGGTGAGGGGGGCCTATGATACTATTCGAATGAACAGATCGAAGTAAGCTGAGTAGGGTTTGTGAACTTGGGGCAAATCGGTCGTCAGCCAACTGCATACAATAATCAATACTGACATATTATTTCTATTCCCTCTTGGATTATTTGCTTCAAGAGGTTTGTCAACTGCAACTAAGATATTCAAAACTAGAAAAACATAATGCAACTCCTACACAGTATAATCACGTTTATCTCTACCGGCTTTCCAATTTGTTTTATGATCAATTGTTATCAATTCCTTACAAGTAACTTCAATTTGTGAATAAATTGTTGTCACTTGAACCATTCGTATACCGATGAAGTAAACTACTCTCTTGAGTGTTTTACTTTCTGACAGATCTCTTTTCATTAACCGGCTGTTCAATGTTATTGATTCCCTTTTAGAAGCACCACAGAAAAGATGGTTTTCCGAAAAGTCTAGTTATATGTTGTAGCTTACTAAGTGACTACCAGTGGGATCCAGGACGTGCATTTCGTCCTACCTAGAACTCGTCAGCTGAATGCATAACAGAATATTCTGTAACACACAATGCAGAAACCACAGGCAGCTTCATGTACTGGGTAATCAAACCACTGCATGACATATAGTTGGCGATGTTACTCAGTCGTCTAAGCCTTGTTCGGCAGAGAAGGATTTGATCTTGTAACCTTACTGGTTGAAAGTTGGACAGTCAAGAGGCAAAAGAAAGAAAAATAAATTTATTCTAGCATGGCTTATATGTGTACACAAACTTTTAAATTAAAAACAAATCTCACCTCTGTTTGAAATGCACAGTAAAGAGCAGTTAGGAATGGATGATGTGCAGCTAAGACAAGAATACGTCTTTCAGTTAGAGTACAATCGACATCTTCATCTTGTAGAATAACTTCTTTCTTTAAAACTTTAACAGCAAATACTTCACCAGTTCCTTTATACTCAGCAAGCATCACTTTACCAAAGCTTCCTTTACCTAGTACTTTTAAAAATACAAAGTCATTTAAACAAGGAATACGTGGACCAATTGTACACCCATATACATCGGGAGGATCCTGTTATATTAATGCAAAGAAAGAGAGAGAGAGACCAAAATACTAACTTACGATATAAAGTCTTAATGTTAAACACAAAAGTCATAAACAAAACCAAGTGAGCACATATATTCCTAACGGGATCCTTATCATCAGTCGATCAAATCACGATTAAAAAAAACTGTAACCAACACTATTGTCAACCTTTGTATCTTAGTGGTTAGTTAATACATAGAAGAGACACTATTTAAAATTTTAAGTAGGGTGACAGTAGTGAACCACTAATGATGATGAATAAATGCTCTCCTTTGAAAATATTTACAATAAGACTAGTATACACGCACAAACACTATCACAAAACTGAATGAAGTACTTAATCATATTGCTTGATGAAATACTTTCAAAATAGATACGTGACATATACACAATATTTAGCAACTCTCTCGCTTGTGATGATGACACATTCATTTGAAAGTCATGAGTTAATTGTACTATGATGTAGCGCTACATTCTGTCTTACAAAACACGTTTGACATATGGTAATTAAAAGTAAACGAAAGGTTATAAGCATTTGACTATTAACGGGTTGAAATTACTATCTAAGTGTGGTAGAATCTTTGAGTGAATGAATTTCAAGTCAAACATCAGGTTTCATACTAGAGATAACATCATCTGATGAGGTTTCGACCTATACAAAATAAAATTACTGAGAAATGTATTATCTCAACCTACTTGTAGCCCAGAAAGATAGAAAAAACTTGATGGTAGTAAAGAAAAAAATAACACAGAACTGTAACCCTTGACTATATTCCTCAGGAATAACGGTAAGATTCTCAGTTTCTGATGAGAGTAACAGATCCCAGTGTGGTTTCTTTGCTGAGACCGAAAGGTTTAGCCCACTAATTGTGATCTAATCGACATCAAGAAAACAAGTAAAAGAACTACCTGACACATATTATAGACAAACACCAGTATATGCTTTGAACGATTCGTCACTCTGAGTTGAAACAGTTTGTGTAAACCATAAATGAAGTCAGTCGCCTTCAAACCTGTTAATGGATAGCTTAATCCAATCTGATTAGCGAGTACTTTCGGTTGGTAAGAGTATTTTTTAAATACTCATGTCAACAAGCAGCATCCATCCTGAGGAAGAACAATTTGCTTGCTGATTGAATCCACAAAAACGAAAAACAATTTTTGAGGGGCCTTGAGTGGAGTGACTTAAAAGAGAAGGAAACGGAGCAGGTATGACTGCTCGTTATTTCGAACGCTTTATGCAGTAAATGCTTTTTGTCTTTATAATATTTTACTCTTAGTGTTGATCCTCTACAACGGGATTCGAACGCACGGTATGATTTTTGAAAGTTGTATCTCTAACCACTGAATCCTAATACTGATGAAAGAAGTAAACGAGGATTGGAAGAAAACTTGACAAGACATTTATAATTGATATTTTGGACTGTGAAGGTGACTGAAGATTAGTGGAATGGTATTCCCAACGTGTCAGGAATCGTTGAGTTGGAAGAAAAAGAATTGTAACCAACACCCACTTCGATATAATTTTAAACATTTCTAAGTGATTAAATTTTCTAATCGTAATAAGTTTTACTTTTAGAACAATACATTATTGCCAGTGCCTGTGCTACTGAGAAATATAATAAATTCACAACTGTTTGAACCAAAAAACTATGATGGGTGTGTTAGAGCCTATGCTGAGATGTCCGGGGAGCTGTGCTCGTCGAGTAGTGTCCGTCAAGGATGCCCACTGTCTCCATTCTTATTCAATTTTATCATTGATATTCTCATGGAGGTCTCCCTCTCGTCATCTGATTACACAGATGTTGACCTATTCGCAGGAGAATTTTCATTAGACCTAGAATATGCAGATGACATAGTCCTGTTAGGCGAAGATGCTGATAAGATGCAGAGTCTTCTGAACACTGAGTGACAATTCGAGAATGTTTGGCATACCTTTCTCACCACCCCAGTGTAAATTGTCGCTCCAGGATTGGTCTTCAACTGTGACCCGGTTAACAATGGAGAGTGAAGTGGTTGAGTGTGTCGATCACTTCACCTACCTAGGAAGTAGGATCACCCCTGATGCATTGGTCAGTGGTCGGTGTAATCTCTGCACGAATCTAAAAGGCTCGACTGGCTTTTGTCAACTTACGCCACATGTGGTGCCGCCGCGGTATCCGATTGTCTATTAAGGATCGAGTGTACTGCACAGCAGTCCAGTCCGTTTTACTGTACGGCTGTGAAACATGGCCATTGAAGGTGGAAGACATGAGAAGGCTTCAGGTGTTTGACCACTGTTGCCTTTGTAGCATAGACCGTGTTTCGTGGTGTCACCACATGAGTAACGCAGAAGTCAGGTGTAGAGTTTTAGGGAGGTGAGGTAAGTCAGTTGATGTGGTTGTGAACCTTGACCAACTGAGATGGTTGGCTGGGAGATGTGTTACGTATGCCTAGTTGCAGGATGCCTCGTCACACAATTTTGGCTGAAGAAGGTTGAGGCCACAAAAAGACTCGGGGTGGCCAGACTAAAACATGTCATCAATGTATGGAGTCTTTGACCGTTGGTTTGAGGTATGTAGGGCGATCCAGACTAGCCGGTTGGAGTCTGTGGGACAGGAGAAACCAGTGGTTGGAGACTCTAGGTGACATGGCTGAGAACCGATGTCAGTGGTGCAGATACATGCAGACATTATCCTCGTCTTAACACTATACTTAATCTCACCGTTTTTCCATTCTTCCTTTCTCTCTTTTTGCACTCTATATTTCTTTTGACTGAAATTTGTTTTCTGTATCTGCCATTTTATTGCCTTGTTACTTGATGTGATGATATGAGGTGTGGCAACTTGGACTGTTACGTAGTAATGCCTGATCCCATGTTTGTTTTAATGATGATGGTGTAATTTTCCCGTTTATCTGTACTGCTAAACGATGCATTAGTGAAATCTCACAATTATCATAAGCTCGCTTTATACTACTAACATTTATTGTTCATAAGTGTTAAAAAACACGAAATCTATGCATTCCTCAATTTCTCATCAGTTCCTTGCAAACACCAAACACCTAATATATCACAGTATAGTGTTATCTAACTAACTAGATGCATTTCATGTGTTAGTTAGGTAGACACAAACTCATGCACAGGATAATGATGATGGATCATATCTGTTGGTTGGAAGTTGACCATATCACCTGTTTGTGTTAACTTCGGTAGATGAAGGGATTCGAAACAATAAACTACTGGTAAAAAGTTGAGTATTTAAGCCAAATGAGGTGAAAAACCCTACTGTACAATAAGTACTAAGGACTAGTGTAACAACTTAAAGACCTCTTCAAAATGCAATGAACAGTGTAAGTATACATTTCGAAAAAATATAAACATAATAATCTCTTTTAAAAGAATTCAAAAAGTGAGAAATGCCCACTTGTTTTTAATTTCTTATGATAAACATTCTTTTACCTTCTCTATTCAATATTTGTGAAATCTAATCATATTATTCAGAAGAAAGTTCTGTACATGATCTTCATGTTTGCATGATGATATACACAAACCTGAAGTATTTGGTGCTAAAGTAACTTGCACTGACTTTGAATTATTGACTTACAACTGTCTTAATTTGTTCCAGTGGAGCAAAAGTGAGAAGAGACTGTTGTTAACACATGAAAACAATGAAATCTTCAAGATATTCACAATCCAATAAAATAATAATACAGAAAATCATACTTGTAATGAAGATGGTCTTTGAGCTGGCATCCCATGTCGTCCTGCGACTGGGCCTACTGTGCTCAAACCACTTCCAGAAACCGGATCTAATGTTGCATGCCTATTTGATTCATTCGTTTCCATGATACTGCCACCACCAACATTTCGACCACTTATATCAGCTGTTGGTAATGAGATAGGAGAACTCAGTGATCGTTCATGAGGAGCTATTCCAATAAGTGAAGAACTAAAAAAAAAAGAAGGATGGATAAATTTAAAGAATGCATTTTATGAGTGAAATGTTATTTTATACTAACAACCTACGATGCATGCAGTCAACGGTTGTTTGACCAAAAAAAATACCTCGGAGATACTGTAAATTAGTTGGTTATAGTGTGAACTAAAAAAACCAGTTGGAAATAATGAACCACCCGCTATGTGAACAGCTTATAACATGATCAGACCAGTCACTGAAGATTCTCAGTGCTGATTTGAGCAGCAGGAGGTACAATTAACTTCTTGATTACACTATGCCGTAATTACCGATAACTACAAACTTCAGGTCATAGTTCAGAAAGGAATTTTTTTTTTAATGTGTAAATCCAAAAACTTCTGAACACCCAATGTTAAAGCTTCACTTCTTCCAATCCATTATAATACCTGCAATCAATGATAAGCATTTAAGTTCATTAGGATAGTATCTGAGCTCTCTATTAGTCAATTTTATGGAATTACTGAACCAGAAAGACAAGCATTCCACAAGAGGTGTACGATGCTTACTATATACTATATCTATGGTTTGTGCAACCCGTATATCACTGCACGGAAAGACGATGCCATTTTAACGTTTTTTTCCAGACATTTTTATACCATCATCACTACTAGTCAATTCCTTCAAAACGTAACTGTCTCCAGACTACTATCAGTGACAGTTGAAGAGAAATGGGTCGAGTTGTACAAATCTATTGCTGGTTACAATCAGTGAAAGGTGTGTACTAATAAACTCTTAGTCTATCCTGAAGTGTTTAGTGCAGAGATCTCAAATTAAAGTATCATAGTTATATCCCTACAGGAACCGCTTGCTTCGTTTTTAGCGAATAGCCAGTAAAACATTTCTTACAGGGATTGAAAATATACTGTTTTTCCCAATAGATTTTAAAGAGAACAATTAAGAAATAATTGAAGACATTGTTCTAGTTTTAGATCCGTGACAAGTACACAAATGGAACATCTTACGAGATCAAATCGATAATTCTTAGATTTGATGATAGATTTACCATTATTAATCACAATGACAAGCAAATTGTCAGCATTTTGTGAAATGGAGAAAAAAAATTCTCTGTAACAATTAGGAGTTTCAATTGGTAGCAATTCTAAAACCTCAAGTACTTAGTTGACTGTGGATTCTGTAGCGGAATTCTAACAGTGACTTACAATCAGACAGACAAAACCACCGCAGAACATCACATGGAAGTGTTTCGGTTCAAGTAGACACATTTCAAAGAATAAATGGGTAGAAAAAGAGTGATGAGAAGAAAAGAAATTAGGAAATAAAGGTTAGAGAAAAAGTCCGACTTTCGAAAATGTCGAAGACTGAATACACCTGAGACATCGTGACCGATTTTCAGACAAGAGTCGTCTCCAACCATTGGTTTTTATTATTTCAAGGAGCCTAATGAGATAGTTCACATCTCTTTACAAAGCTCAGAATAACAGTCAGCGACTTTAGGGACAAGTGTTGCATCTCTGGCTGGCTGGCTAACTTGGGCTTTTTTCCAACACAATCCTACTTCAGCTAACATTGCAGGTCAAGGTAGGCGTTGGCTCGACATGCACAATGCATGTTCAAGCAGTCTTAGTTATCAAAGATTCACAACTTTATCAACTGATTTGCCTTCCTTACATAGTACCCTTCGCCTAACTTCGATATTACTCACACGGTGATGCTGTGAAGACAAATAGGGTGAAAGATACGTCATCTATTGATATTTTTTACTTCTAATGGCCATGACTCATAGCCGCATAATAAGACAAAGCGAACCGCCGTACGGCATACTCGTCCTTGAACAGGGAGTCGGATGTCGCTCCAGAGATGGCGCTAGTTAACATATTTCAAACAGACCTTTTGTATCTGAACTACTTGCAGAAATTTATCGGTAAATGAGAGGATATCTGACAAGTTCGGAATTGGTTACCAATATAAAAAGGATTAAAGTATCAATGAAAAGCCAGTATACAGCCTTTGTTTACTTCAACTCCGAAATATCTCAGAAATGCACACATACAACTAAGCTTAAGCTTGAATTCATAAGCAAAGGTCCCAATTATCGATTGCAACATCACTCTAAGTCCCCAGAAATTATCAGTTAGTACGGCTGACAAAGTGACATATTCAATCCCTAATGAAATTAGAAAAACTTGAATAGATTCTTGACAAGAATGGTGGTTTAAATATTTTGCCTGAACTGGTACATTTATAAAGCATAAGCTTTGTATATAGTGGCAGCTAGAATTACATGCTTGCCCTTGAAGTGTAGACAGGAGTAAGACAAGGCTGTCTACTATCACCCATGATATTCTTGATTGTGGTGGACTGGCCCATGCAGTAAACCGTGAGGAGCGAGAAGAGGGGTATATGCTAGCTGGACCGATGAAAAGAGCCTAGAAGATTTGGATTTCGCCACCGATGATGATTCATGTCTAATGTTGCACAAACTCGAAGATCTACAGGCGAAAACTAACAAGTTGACAGAAGAAGCAGCGAAGACGGGACTTCAAGTGAACGTAGACAAGACAGAGGTGATGAAGATACCCAACTAACAACAGCTTGAACAACAAGCACCAATCACCATCCACAAGAGAAGCCTAAAGGAAGTAGTCTTTCACCTACCTAGGCAGCATCGTTTCAACTACAGGTGGCGGCACAGACGAGGATGTCAGAACCAGGATCGGAAAAGGAAGACAGACTCACTAATCTGAAATCAGTTTGGAGATATACTGCATTCAGCACAAAGAAGAAGATCCAGATTTTCAACACCAATCCAGTCAAGTCAGTGCTTCTATATGGTTCAGAAACCTGGCGCTTCATGGAAAGCACTTCGAACAAACTACAGACATTCATCAACAGCTGCCTACGCTGGCTCGATACCGAAGATCAGATGGCCAGAATAGTAAGAATAAGCGACAAAGAACTCTGGCTGGCTAGCTGGCGACGAACCAACTGACAAAGAAGCTATCGCCCAACGTGTATGCAGAAAGTGGAGATGGACTGGGCATACACTGAGAAGGCCGACTGGGGACATTAAGAGCCAGGCCCTCGAGTGGAATGCAAATGGGAAGCGACGAGTTGGGCGTCTAAGACGAGGGTGACATGGAGGAGATCGTGTGAGAAGGAAATGAGAGCTTGTGGGCAGTCGTGGAGCGAGGTTCAAAAGACTGTAGAGAACAGAGTGGAATGCAGGTGTGCTACTGAAGCCCTATGTTCCACTAGGAACCCAAGGGAAAAAAGAATTACATGCTTAAATGAATTTGATCACCGAAGTGGAATTTTGTCCGATAGACATCACAGTATCAATCTAAGAACCACCAGTGTCATCAATGAAACCATTTTATGAGCAGAAGTGAAATAAGTTGAACACTTTAAATTGATTATCTCTACCAAACTTGTTTGATTACTTTCTATAATTATATAATGTATTCAAACAAATTAAAATCATTTAGAACTGGTAGGTATTTTTTTCAATTTTAATTTTTGTGAAAAATTATCAGTCACTTTGTTTAACCTACCTAGAAAAACCCGTATCCCCTTTACTCGGTTTCAAAGGTGCAGGAGATGTTGGGAAACCAGTATCACCGTAAACCCCAAAAGGGCCAGCACGTGAACCTGCTGATATGGGACGGATTGAAGATGTAATATTGGTGCTTGTAGTTCGATTCGGACCAATACTTCCACCAGGTCCTGTTGTTGTTGTCGTTGTCAGTGTAGTTGAACCTGATGGACTAACACCAAGATCAGATGGATTCAGTCCACATAATCGAATAGCAGCTACAAGATTGCGTGTATTTACTCCACAATGTGATGCAACATTCTTTTCACATCTTTTATGAATATTCAAACGACAAACTTCACATTGTAAACCTTGTCGCATTAAACCGAATAATAATGAACCACAATGATCACAAAACGCTGGAAGCATGAATGTGTGGATTCGAAATTTGTGTGGGACATTAATATTAAAGCGACTCTATTAGACAAAGAAAAATTTAAAAGTAGTTTAGGAAGATAAAATTGCAAAAGCATTCGAGTTAGTTAGTATAGACGATGAATTAAAGGAATTTCCAAATCCAGCAAATGAAATAATACATTAAATTGTAGTCTACACAATATCCAAGTGGTCTGAAGTTATTACTTTGTCGCACATCAAATCAGATTTAAAGATTAAAGTCTTGACTCTTCAGTCAACACGATTGTTCACAAATGCTAATTGCCGACGAAAGCTCTCGAGTTAAACTATGCCAATTCCAAGATTTCTGTCTACTTTGTAAACACGTTTGAGAGAGTAGATCTCAAGACCAATGGGAAAGGGATACTTAACAAGATTCAAATTTTTCACTCATCGCAAAACAACGTTAAACCCAAAAAATCAGGGGATATTTCCCAGTAAAGTGCCGTAAGAGTTGAGAACCATGCACCATACCTGATGTCCCTGTATTGACAAATCATTGACAAACACCTTCCTATAACAACACGAAAGGCTTATATATATATCAGAGACAAACAACCCCCAAGTATATGAAGTATGAATACAAGGAATAATCATCTAATGCCATAATTCGGAAAAACGGTTAAAACTAGCTAAATAGTGAATGTGTCTTCAGTCTTCTTACGTATGTTTAAAATTCTAGATATCTTATTCATCCCCACTTTTATTTGTTTCCCTTCCTCTTACATTCTTGTTATCTATTTTATTATCTTCCAAACTTCGTTGATTTCCTCTGTGCTGTTGTAAAGTGTAGCAACTTGAAAAAAGTGCATCAATGTGTGTAAGGTTGCATGTTTTTCTGTCTAACAATTAACTTGATGCCCATAATGAACCCCTTGGCTGACAGATTTCGGTTGGCAGTGGACCCTAGACCATAGGATCAGCAAGCGACTAGCGTATGAAACATTTCAGAAAAATAAAAAAACTAACCATCTACTCGTCATATGCAGGAGAAGTATTTGGAAAATATGAGGAACTCATTAGTAGTGCAGCATATGGAAACATATGAACTGTGTTTAGGTTGATAATTCTATACACTGACTAATCTATACTTGTTAGTTGGCAGATGAAGTGCTGTTTTACATTTTGGTAACAGAACTAAATCTGTATATAGAGGGGTATAATTTTGAGGGATGTGACACTACACTATTGTTTTGCCAGCCAGGAGTTCAAACAACTCAGCAACAACTCTTACTGTTCTATCTACGGACGGAATGGGTTTACATTTCAAACAGAGAACGAAACTTTTCAAAGTTGTACAAAAAAGCCTTTCTGATAAGTCTCAACCAGTAGAACGATTAAGTTCACAAACCTTTTTAGTAAACATACATATCACTACGAACTAACACTACAGTTTTTCAGTGAATCAGTGGACAGTAGAGACTTAATACGCATGAGATTATTAGACGTAAAGTTATGAGTTTTTAACATAATTGATATGATAAACATGTACAGATTCATGCACTTAGGGTTATGGTGTAACATTATCTAGATCCAGGTCTTAGATAAGATACTCATGATTCGGATTCTAGATAAAAGCTACAGTTTGTAGGTCCTAACGAGGAACCATCAACCTGGATGAAAATGACAGTACTATCACAGACTCCCATTAAAGGTGGGGTTCATGTAGTACGTAGAGCTATCCAAGTTGTTGAACTATTTTATTTCAGGACAATACTGACTATAATGTTTATTTTTTAACATATTTTATATATATATATATATATATATATATATATATATATATATAATACACATTACACTCGTCTAGCAGTGGCATACTACACATTGAATATTATCAAGGTAATGCATGGAGCTGTGGCTCATTGGTGTAGGAAGATGACCTCCAACTGACGGGTCATTGGTTCGAGTTTCGCTCCCCCTACTGAGGTTCGGGCAGCCACATAGTATTAATAGCCCCTATACAATAGGTATGACTTATTGTCTACTGCACGAACGTGTACAAGGTTGCTGAGTGCATTTCAATGTCGACCAAGGTGATATACAAAATATACAGTCAAGTTTATGTTTATAGCACATGGATGAGTGCTACAACGACCAGCAGAACAAATAAAAGCAGATTACTATCCAATCCCCTCTAAAATTCAGTAAGTGAAAGGGGATTCAAGTTCGACTTCATCGACCGCTGGGTGACAAGGATGCTACAATTTGATCATTTATCTAACGAATAGAATACAAAACCCACAAAGAACCTTATAGAGTCATTACTGAGTTCTATGAGGAGACAACTTGTACCATATTTAGGGATGTGTTTGGGCTGCACATCATTTTCATGTAACAGATAACATAAAGTACTTATTTACGTATACACCTTTGTCATTTCATCATTTGACACATAGAAAGGATACGCATATAGTATTATTATTATTTACCGACTAACCTGAAGAGAAACTGTTGGACAGCTTGGTGGTGACTTTACACCAGGACACTGAGTGATCACATTAAGATAGCAACGTTTGTGTACAACACATGTGCACACTTGACACTGATAGCCTTGATTCCATAGACCCCAGATGAAACCATTGCATAATGAACAAAATGTAAATTGACGAAGACTTGTAACTTGAAATTTATGTCCTTTAGCTTGATGGATTCTCCGACGAAGAGCACCACATCGATAATGTTTCCCATGAACACCACCAATAGCACTATCTCTACCAGGAAAGCCTGGACGATCTCTTGGTGGTTCGTCTGTTCTTGTGCCAGCCAAATCAATGCGTATATGCAACTTTCCCTGAGGTTCCAGTTCAAGCCACATATCTTCTCCAGATCGAACATTTCGTATAGCTAATTCAACGATAGCAACAAAATCATCTGGTGGAATAGCCGCATCATGATACACAGTAAATGTTAGCTGTTGAGCATAACTAACTTCTGCACAGATATTTTCATTCCATTGTGGTACATTTGTTCGAGATTTTGTAGAGCTTTTACCAATAGCAATATCATCAACATCGATTGTCACATAAGGATCTAAAAGTTCATATAATTTTGCAGCTGGTCCAACCGCATGACGAGTTGCGCAAGCTGTCGGTTTTAACTCAGCTGCTTCAAATATCCGAATATTAAGCGTCCCAGAAAAATATTCCATGGAATCATACAAACTCCCTACAGAAAATCTAGAATTGAAGAACAAAGCAAAGATATGACATGTATACAAAACGAAGCTCAGAAAAACAGCTATGAGCAGAACAAAGACTAGCCAGAAACAAACATTTTAATCCCAGTAAAAGAAGGGTACAAAGTGGCTCAGGATTTAACAAAGCCACTATTCGCATACAGGTGAAGACAATGAAGGGAAATGAAAAACAAAACATGAATGAAGGTACCAGTAGAAACAAGAGAACAAGTTGAGACAAAAGAAGAGGTACACGATAATAACATTTAAGATCTACAAGATAATCTACGAACACATCCATACTACCGAGATCGATTTTCAGTCTATTCACTTAGTGCTTTAACCTGTTATCTTTAGCCGCTTCACTGACTCCATAAAATAGGTATTTATTTCTTTAAACGGCTCAAGTAAAAAAGCAAACACAAGCTGATTCAAAGGACCATATGACGTATCATTTAAGCTAGTGTACAGCAGGGGAGGTAAGACTGCAATGCATTTTCGTTATCTAACGGTCAGAAGAAAAGTGTGGATGAATGTAATGGTAAAGCAGGAGAGCTAACCCAGTTGAATTTCTATTGTTGCTGAAGATATTTTGGTCGTCCCACAACTTCTAGCTTCAATTTACTACCAAGATTTAGATATGTAAACTATGTTGCGAACGATATGAGCTGAAAAGTCTGAATAATGCGACGTAATCAAAAGACCAAAGAACAAATATATCAGTTGAAAACAAAAAATTGGAATCGCTGAAAATGGAGTTATTGTCCTACGAGACAACTATATACCAGTAACTGTATTCAACTGCGGTAGAACCGATATGACAAGATTAATCTAATTAATATTGAATATAATGATATCATGGTGTCGACTGGGAAACGTTGCTAAAACAGTAGAATCGAAAATGGAATTTGTATCCTGGCTTCTGTTAAAACGGATGGAAGAAAAACACCATCGACCACACTATTTCGTGTATTTTGAAGGACGTTATACTCAAGACTCATTTCATAGCATTATGGCATAGATCTCCTAAGGAGGTTTTTATTGAAGCCTCATTCGTTTCCGTTCGACTCAGAGTTTTGAAACAACGGCATGGTAAGTGAAGTCAATTAGTGTGGATTGTTTTATCTTCTATGTATGAAATCACTGACATCATTTCTATGAATTATGATTTATTGAGGTATGACAAATGTATATATGCATGACTCTGAGCAAGAATAACAGCATCGATCTTAGCCATTTGTTGTACAGAGTAAGTTCCAAGAACAACTATTTGTTAAAGGGTTGAAAATATTTCATCTTGTGTTCAGTTTAGCTGGAGACTCACAGGTGCGAAAAATGTGTAGACAAGCGTAGTGATATTCGGGTAATGAGGAGCACAGAGTGCAATCGTAACGTGACAATATAAGGGCTACGTATATTACAATTACCAGTTAAACAATAAAAACCACGTCAAAAATCAGTGTATTTGAGGTGGTAGCATCTTCGTTAGCAATGAACGATAATCAGATAATGCAACACCATAACTTTAACATAAGCTTTTACAAGACCGTGATTATACTAAGTGCTTTTCTGATATTCGAACTTTAATTTAAAAGTCTACTACTGCTGTATCCTGCATGCTTAATCATCTAAGCCATCAATTTTAGATAAATGCGCACCTAACAACAAAAGATAGTGAATTTGGTGAACAACCAGTACATGCATTGGTACCATGTTTTATACTGGTTGCCCTTGACGTTTTCCTAAACCGATCCTATTCCAGTTAGCATAGAGCTTCAAGGTAGACGATGGCTCGGTATGTACAAAACATGGAGGAGATAAGCTATGAAGGTTTATAACGCCATCAACTAATAAACTTCTTTTGCATAGTACTTTACAATGAACTTCTGAACTATCCACAAGGTGCCTATACACCAAACCCTTGTGCATCCAACACCGTTAGTGATCATAATCTAGTCATCCAGACGGACAGATGCCGCTATGTACAAAACTCGACAATTGGTATCTAGACAGATAAAATCAATGTAGAATCTCGCACATGAATGCATCGGTCCAAATTGTTACATTCCACAGTAGTATGTAAAGGACAAGTGGGTAGACAAAGATTAATATCAAAGTAAGCAAAGGTGTATCGAAGAAGAGGGAGTTTGGAAATCCAGGTTAGTAAAAATATTCAAGCTCTAGGAGGTATCAAAGTGAATAAACTTGCGTAGTTGTGACTGATTTCCAGTCATATCACCGAGGATTTCCAACCATTGATTCCTATCGCCTCAAAAACCCTAACCAGGTAGTTTACACCTTCACATACGGATCAGACCAATAGTCAGAGACTTCATGCACTGATGCCACGTCTTGGTTTGGTCACGCTGGACAGTCTTCCTATTTAATCCAACTTTAACACTCCACGTTGAGGTGGGCGGTGCTTCGCTATATGTAACAGGTCTAAGCCACCTTAATCTAAGTTCACAACTTCATAGATCGGCATGAGTGTTTTGCCCAGCACCTTTTACCTGACCTCAACAGTTCTCACACGGTAATCCAACCATACACGACCAATGCTACGAAGAAACTTGTGGTCAAAAACCTGTGACCGATTCATATCTCCCATTTTCAACGGCCGTCTCACAGCCATGTAACAGAACACAATGAACTGCGGCTCAGTACACTAATCTCTTATAGGTGGTCATATCTCGCCAGTTGGCGTCAGAGATGATGCAAGTTAGGAAGTGCCAAAAGTGTTTCCTGTATCCGAACTGAGACTACTTCACCGACCAACTTGTTCGAGCTGACGGAATTCCCAAACCAAGTGTGGTGGTCGACATATTTAACTACTTGACTCCTTATCATTAAACTGGGAGTACTTGCAGCAGACTATTCCTGAAACATCATCTTATATATCACGACAGGTGCAAGACGCATGCCAAACACTCAGATTTCTGCTCAATGCGTTTGGAAGACTATATTTTTGTCAGCGTCTGCACTTAGCAAGAAAAAACCGTCTGGATACTCCAAGTCAACCAGATGACCTACAGGGGGTTCAAGTCTTCATCATACTCAATCATCGATATCAACATAGGGCCAGGCATTACTGTGTAACGGTCAGAGTTACCACACCTCATATCAGTACATGAGGTAGAAAGGTAGTGGGGTGAAAGATGAAGATAAGAAAATTCAGTCAAAAGAAAAATAAAGTAATCATACAAAGAAAGGAAGAATGACAAAATGGTGAGAATTGGTATAACGTCGTTAAGATGAGGATAATGTGTGTATACATCTGCGACACTGACATCGGTTCTCAGCCATATCCCCTACAGTCTCCAACCACTGGTTCCTCTTGTCCTGCGGACCCGAACCACCTAGTCTGAATCGCCCCACATAGTTCAAACCAACGGTCAAAGACTCCATACATTGATGACATGTTTTAGTCTGGCCACCCCGAGTCTTTTTGTGGCCTCAACCTTCTTCAGCCAAAATTGTGTGACGAGGCATCCTGCAACTAGGCATACGTAACACATCTACCAGCCAACCATCTCAGTTGGTCAAGGTTCACAACCACATCAACTGACTCACCTCACCTCCCTAAAACTCTACACCTAACTTCTGCGTTACTCATATGGTGACACCACGAAACACGGTCTAGGCTACAAAGGCAACAGTGGTCAAACACCTGAAGCCTTCTCATGTCTTCCACCTTCAATGGCCATGTTTCACAGCCGTACAGTAAAACGGACTGGACTGCTGTGCAGTACACTCGACCCTTAATAGACAATCGGATATCACGGCGGCACCACATGTGGCGTAAGTTGACAAAAGCCAGTCGAGCCTTTTAGATTCGTGCAGAGATTACATCGACCACTGACCAATGCATCAGGGGTGATCCTACTTCCTAGGTAGGTGAAGTGATCGACACACTCAACCACTTCACTCTCTATTGTTAGCCGCGGCACCGCTGAAAACCAATCCTGGAGCGACAATTTACACTGGGGTGGTGAGAAAGGCATGCCAAACATTCTCGAATTGTCACTCAGTGTTCAGAAGACTCTGCATCTTATCAGCATCTTCACCTAACAGGACTATGTCATCTGCATATTCTAGGTCTAATGAAAATTCTCCTGCGAATAGGTCAACATCTGTGTAATCAGGTGACGAGAGGGAGACCTTCATGAGAATATCAATGATAAAATTGAATAAGAATGGAGATAGTGGGCATCCTTGGCGGACACTACTCGACGAGCACAGCTCCCCGGACATCTCAGCATAGGCTCTAACATGCCCACAAGTGTTCGAGTAGACAGCCTTCAATAAGGTGATGTATCTACTCGACACGCCTTTCAGTGAGAGACATTGCCATAAGACTTCTCGATCGACGGAGTCGAATGCCGCCTTCAGGTCGAGAAATACAGCTATTGTCAGGCGTCTGTAAGCGTGTCTATGTTCCAGGACCTGGTGCAGTGTGAATATTTGGTCGATACAACCGCAGCCGGGTCTAAATCCTGCCTGGTTTCCACAGGTTTGCTGTCTCCAGCCCCACTCAGGCATCAAAGAATTATGGGACCTAGGATCTTAGACACTATGTTCGTCAGGCTGATTCCTCTGTGGCTATCACATGAGGACTTCTCGCCTTTCTTGAAGACTGAAATAATCAGTGATTTAGACCAGTCAGAGGGAATCGTATCTGATTCCCACATACCAGTTAACACTCTCGTTAACCTGACTAAGAGCACTCTACCACCATCCATATATACCGCAGGAGTAATCCGTCCGGTCCTGCTACTTTTCCTCGTTTCAAGTTACCTACAGCTTTCTCGACTTCTGCAAGTGCTGAGGGCCTATCTCAATGTTCCATTCAAGATCTGACTGGATAGTGGGCAACGCAATGGTGGCTGGAGGGCAGTTAAACTGCTCCTCGAAGTGTTCTGCCCATCGTTCCAGTCGTCTCCCTTACCAGTGAACCCCAGATCCGTCCTTTTCCGCTAGAGTCTCCCTGCCTGCAGTCGACCTTTCCCCCCAGTTTCCTTGATAAGTCTAAATAACTATCTACTGTTACCAATCGCCGTCGCCTTTTCCATCTCTTTAACCTTCGCTGCCCACCACTGTTTGCGGTCGTTGCGCAGACTTCTTCTCAATCTACTTTTAAGTTGCGCTCGCTCTTCATTGTACTCAGAACCTGCAGGGATGTGCTTACGTATATCCATTAGTTCGGAAGAAGCTGCTGATATTCACTCACTCTTTTTAGCCACTATTTCGGAGTCGGCTAAGGTCTTTAACGCTGCTTTTACACCAGACTGAAGATGGCACCAAGCTTCTGGATGAGTGATAGTGTTCTGTTCTGATAACTGCCTAACCAATTTCTCACTGAAAGCGGTTTTGATGCTTACATTGTCGAGCTGCACTCGTAGTGGCTTTGTTGCCAAATTTTTCCTACGTTCATTGAGACGTAGACATATACGCGCTCGGACCAACGCGTGATGGCTATCCAAATACGTACTCCAGGAGGAGCGGCAGTCTTCCACTGATCCTCTCCAGATATGATTAATAGCAATATGGTCGATCTGTGTCCATCGCTGAGTTGAGCTCGGTGGATGCCGCGTCAAACAGTGTCTTTCTTTATGTCCGGAATTTGTGCTAGCTAAAAATAGGCGATTATCTGAGCACAGTTGTAGTGGGCGATCACTGTTATCTGTACGTTTAGCCGGGACTCCGAAAGTGCCTTTCTGCTTCATTCAGTCTACCCATCTGTGCATTGAAGTCAGCTGCGACAACCACCACGTCCGAACATTTGGCTTTCGAGAGGAGGCTATACAGTTTACGGTAGAACCCGTCCTTCACTGCATCTGAATTGCAGTCAGTGGATGCGTAAGCAGAGATTACAAAGAGACAACGTCGAGTTTTGCTATTCCTTTTAGTTCTCACTGTGGCGTTCAGCCAGACAGCTCAGAGGCAACTATTAACTGGGATCCGGTCTAGTAGTGAGTTTTCTGCCCTAGTGCTTAGTGCCATGCCTACACCTGCAGGACCACGAGAACTAGCCATCGAATCTCCACAAACTGGAAGGGCGGGTTTCGCTGATTCACCAGGTTGGCCGGGAGAGGTCAGGTAGATAACCGCACTTGGGTCCTGTATGCGTATCTCACAAACATAGCACACATCCATGTCCCGAGTTGCTAGAGTCTTGGCCAACGAAGCCTGTTGGCCCATTTGACGGAGAATGCGGACATTGAAGGCTCCAATATGGAATTTGTAGCGTGGTTTAAGGAGGCCAAGGATGCTGTCTTAAGAACTCAGATCGTTGTCGAAGGCTGCAGGGCTAGGAGAAATTGAAGATGATATAGTATCGTTAGTTGAGAGACGTGAAGAAAGAGTAGAAGGTTATGATGAAGGAAGTGGATAGCAGTCTGAGGGAACTTGAGTGCTGATCGAGTTATGAGGGCGGTTGACACTTCCCGGCTGCCCATACCGTGGAAGGCTATTTCTTCCTAAGGTATCTGAAAGAGACTTGTGTGACCGCAGATCCTATCGGACATTTGCTTGAGGCCTATCACATGAAGCCTTTTGTCTATGGTTGTCTTGAACTTTTGTATTTTTGGGGCCGGATGGTCGAAAGGAAACGACAAATAAACTAACACCGCAGGCCCAGCAGACCGTGGGGCATGATGGAGTGTTATTTTTGGGGTCGACCTTTTCTAACGTCCCCTTCCACTAAGAAGACAGCATCACCAAGGCACTGCTGGCTACCCAAGGGAAATACCTTACTGCTATCACAACCCATCCAGCTAGCAGCAGTACGATTTCGCCCTCAGACCCCCCATCATAGTGTAGTAATTTACACTACAACGGTAACTGCTTTTCGTCTAACCACTATCCAACAGATTTTTCTGGTATGGTAAGACCTCGAGGGAACAAGCGTTTCACCAGCGACCCTAAAATAAATGGCATTGTTTCAACACCATTTTCATAGAGTGCCTAATGGTCCACAGCGAACAAATGTTACGGGTCGTAACTCCTACCTCTTCCATTTTCAAATTTAGCTTTGGTATGTTCCACCAGATCATAGTACTCTTATGGTTGTGATTTGTTTTAGGAAGTCGGTTTTCAACCGGTTGGTCGCGTGTTCATAACCTACTTGACTTAGAACAGTCTGGAAAACCAGGCAGTACCACTAACCCTTGGTAGGTGTAGCTTTTAGTTCCGTACGACTAGCTGTTATTTGCTTTTGAGTAGTACACTTTTCTTGAAAGAAATAAAGAGGCCTGAGTTCTATCAACTAACCACCAATGTACAATGGTTACTAGTATGAGTCAACCAAGGTGAAAAAATTAAGACGGAAAGGCCACTCTTGATCAGACATAGAATCCGATGCATAGAGACACTTATTAGTGAAGTACCCGGGACTGCTGTTAGTATTGTACAGAAGACTCCCTTACTTCACAGTTCAGAACTTTAGATTCTAAAGTTGAGTGATAAAAATAAACAGCTGCTAAAACTGACATTGGCACACCAAATCGATGAACTAGGCTGATGTGATTATATTAACCTCTTTTCTAAACCCAGGTATTTTATCAGAGAGCCTATGATGCTAAACTTTTAAGCCAGGTGCTTTTACAGAATAAATTCAAAGGCAGTGGAAACCTTTCAGGCACCAAAAGATGATACTAATTTTGATTCTCTGCAGGTGATTATGCACCTTCGATAAACGTGGGTTAGTGTGATCATTCGCAAATATCTTTCATGAACTGAAACGCAAACCAAAAACTGCCATTAAATCGGGTTTTATCCTTGATCTACAGATAGTAATCAGTGTTAAGGTTATTTGATGTGAATATAGCAAGATCACGCCTGAACTAACATTCTAACGAGAGTTTGTTAGAGTTCGTGTGTAATTAGACTTCAAAATACACAACAAGGATCAAATAATGGTGTTAAGTGATGAATAACAGACCCATGAACATGAAGAGAACATATAAAAAGCTGAGTGAATGGGACTAACCTCACTTAGTTGCCCATAACACGCAAACTGCAGGACATTGAAAAAGGCAATTCAGACAAGCCGCTCCGCCATTCGTGGACACTAAAACCACGGTTTTCAAAATGTATCGAATAGTTATATAAAAGACAAAATACGATTTCCCATCACATTCTTCTATACCAGAAAGAGTTTTATGATGAAATATATCTACATATATTGTCGGAAAAAACAGAGAAGCTGAATCACTAAATTGGCTTTTACCAGTAATGCGGAAACGTATTTTCCACTTCCACGCGTATGCAACAAATAAATACCTGTTTGAGAGGATTTATTTCACTGTAAGTCGTCTATAAAGCTCTTAGAATTTTGGTCTTGACCTACATCAATGGAGGTTTTCAGGCGAGGTGGCAAAAATTCCTCCATGATCTTCAAACTAGGGCTTAAAACTAAGCATCATTCGTCTAGATATTCAGCGCCTGAACATGGCTGTTGATTTAAGAATACATAGTCGAGCATCTACGCTATCTGATGTGTCACCTGTTCATCATCCCCTAGTCACCCAGTTCAAGCATCTCGGTATATTAGCATGTGCAGAGAATTCTGCACTGGAAAAAAATTGTGGTTCAAAATAAAGAAAACGTATCTTCAGAAGTATATATTCATTCACCAGATATACGAAGCTTATCTGGCTAGACCACTGTATGCTTTCTTGTTCGAGCGTTGTTGTGCATTTAATAAGTAAGAATAATTAATAGGTGGCCTATGGGTCTGTTATGATCACTTGGGGATTATTCCAAATGAGTTAAGTTTTTTTCCCTTTCTACGTATGCATTTTTCTTCATATGTACAACGGTTACTAACTCGTTCTATTGCCTTCAGTATCCATGCGTGACCAGACTCCTTCAGACACCCGTATTAAACCACTAAGTAGTCCGACCTAACCCATCATATTCTGGCCATACAAGTTGGGAAGATTTATGTACACTGAACCCGACTTTCGAGAACAGCGCGCTACTGATTCTCGCTCTCAGACCCTTGCCGCTGTGCAATGAATAACATGGGAACTGAACAGGTAGTTGACAGGTCACAAATTTATTCCTGGTGTAGGTGACCCATGTGGGCTGCTCTAAGCATTCATTTTGAAGAAAGGCAATCTGAAATATCGCCAAAGCTTAGACGAGTTGCTCCACGACGCCAAGTTCTGAGACGATTCAGCTACTGACCTCTTCTTAGAAATGCGAGAAGTTATTGTCCAACGAACGGCCAATAACGTTTCCTCGGGAACTGCCACAGCTGGCGCAGAGTTGAAAAAACTGCAGTCGACTCCCATTAGTGACTTAGTAGCCTCGTCTCCAGAAATTTTCTAAAAACCCCTTCTAACCCGTTTCTTGATGTCTATTTGGGCGAAGAGACTGCATGTTTGGATTCAGAATTGGCCGCCATGCCAATCTGTTGGGTAGCCTTAAGGGTCTCGAGGCCAAGGTAGTAGCATACAACGTGGTACCCATGTATTTCACTTCACCGTTGCTTTTTATGTAGTTGGTTGATGGCAAAATCTCAAGTGCTTGAAAATCCTGAGTCGAGGATGCATGAAGACGTCAAAAAGCATACACCTTCAACAAAGATCATGTGAACTCTGCAAACTACCCCATTCCCAGCCCTATATTCATGACAGTCCTAGACGGAAGACACCACCTTTTGAACCTTCTAACTTCTTAGAGTCTTCAGAACCCGGCAGAAATATTCCATTGTTTTATAAATGATGTCTTCTGTGGTTTAGATGTTGGTCAGGTTCACGCAGATTTCTGTCTCATCGTTAATCAGTATAGGGAGACCCACCTTGAACACCTGTAGCTCTCACTCGGTAGACTGAAAGAGCATGGTATCACAATGAATGCACAGAAGTGTTTAATAGGAGTCAAGTCGCTGAATTGCCGAGGTCGCACCATCGATAACAAAGACATACACCCACTGACGGACGTGTTGGCGGATACTCTGAACTCCCCGGGACCGGTGGTTTTTACTCAGCTGCTCACTTTCAGAGGCCTAGTAAGTTATCACAGAAGATTTATTCTAAGGCATGCCTCCCTCATGAAACCACTGACAGATCTCCAAGGGATTGCAGTGTGCGGCTCTGTACGCCATGGCTAAACTTGCCTTCTCTGGGACGAGAAAGCCGTCTCAAATGCAACTGTGCTTTCATAAGATGACCCTAGTTCTTCTTCGGGTAAGCCGTTAGTCTATACAGCTCGGCAATCGGAGCGGCTTTGTAACAGCTTATGGACAACCACTGACTTGCGATGGCCGTTTTCTTGAGGTGGCTGTGAGAAGCGGACGGAAGGTACTATACTTATGGTAGGGGACTCCTCGCTGTAGAAGATCGTGACTTCATCCTTTTCGCAGACTACAAACCGACCATCTTTTTTTGACTTAGCATCCAATAAGTACTCACTATACGATCCGCTAAAAATGAACCACACCTCTGAGTTCGCCTTGAATGCATCCCTCCATACATGTCGACGCACGCTGTCGAATATCCTCGACAAGCGTGCCGAACTTGTTGACCTTTCTGGGTTGAAACATCTTCAAAAGGAATATCTGGAGATGAATCGTCAGTTGACATCACCAGCCGCTGCCGGCAAGATCAAGAAAAGATGCGGTCATACGTCACCCAGTTGCCAATCAACCCCGCCCAATATGGTAGAAAAGATGTCAACGCAAAGTCCTCAACATTTTGAAGAAATTACCTCCTTCAGGTTTAATGACCCTCCACAGGGCTTATTACACGTCTTTTCTGATGATATAAGACCATCAGGGACGTTAGTGAATGGGCTTAACGGTGCGTAGCGTGTCAAAGTGTAAAATCCCCTTCACACCAAGAGCTCTTTAGGCTCTTATATATCACTAAGCACCTTTCTCGACTACCTCTATATATGTTGTCGGACCCCCATCAGTATCTAACGGGTACACTCATCCTTTTGTCTTATTTAACCGTGCCACAAGATGTCACAAGCAGTATCCAATGAGGAGATTACCTATGAAATCAACTCTCTTGCCCTCACTAAAGGACGAGTAGTGAACTTAGGGTACTCGCCTTGCATAACAACCGGTCACGGACGCTAGTTCTGGTGCAAGTAGTTTATAATATAGTCACGACACTTGACTCTTGTGATTCCGACTACACGCTCTATTACAGCCATAGTTATGAATCATAAGTTTTAGGATGTTGAAGTTAGAATGCTACTGGCATTTTGAAGCAGTTGATTCATTGCATTGGTAAAGAGAGATGTGGCAAAGTCTAAGCAAAATATTAATTTCCGGCGACAAAATGACATAAATTACACGGTGGATCATTTGGTTTAAATGAGAGGGGGATGAGTTGTAAGTCTTACTAGCGTGTACATCTGATAGTCATAATAATTCGGCAGAAGATGCAGTCAAATAGTTCCGCAGATGTTTAAATGTACTGACAGGGCAAGAAAACAGATGTCTATGTTTACAGACAACAGTCTAATGTTACTCAGAATAAAGTTGGCTGAATCGCGCCATAAGCGTTTAAGTTACGGGGACCCGCCATTCTTCTGGTTCCAGACAAAGATGTAGTTGTCATTCCAAGCTGTTCCAGGGCTGAAGAAGAGTAAGGTTGTCGTAAATTTGGGTTGCGTCGTTTTGATGGCAGAAGGTAGGTAATAAAGAGGCCATTCCGTACGGCATAACCGGGGATGTGTAAACTGCTTTTTCATTATTGAGGCAGAAGTAGAAAGAAAATAGATGAAAGTTACAGCTAAAACAGCGCTGAACAACTCATGAGGACGATGACACCAACCAAGTTTTCCCCGAACAGTTGGGCCCTACACATAAAGCCCTGAAGTGTCGGTAAATTATTTAGCCAATGTATAAGAACATTTTTGTGCTGCCTTCCCTCCCAGTGATGTAATTGGGTGAATAATGCTAGGAAATACGAGTTCACGCTAGTGACTCCATCGGATTTAAAAAAGCACATTATTGAGTGCGGGCTGAAGAATAATGGGGGTGGAATAGGAAAAGAAACGTAGACAGCTGTGACCAGTAGAACTATTTGAATTTCCCAGTCCCCTTCTTAGTGCACTTTTACACTGAAGGTGCCTGTTGAGCCCGCAGGCAAATGCACGGCATTTACAAAGGGAATTCTGGTTCGTAGAGATGGCAAGAACGAACAAGGAAAACCCACGCTTTGTGAACATAGTCCCTGTCTTCAGGTAGTTGAAACATATTAAAGCCCTCAGATATTAGGTTGGCCAGTGGTCTCAGTATACGAATGACTGAGGTTGTAATTAGGAGTTGGGATTCTGTTGCTGTCAGAAACGAAGATGCTCAGTAAGCCTTTGAAGAGTTCAATGGTCGAGCTTTGTCGCAAAACGTGGAAATAGGCTTTCCTGTAGTTGGATAAAGTAAGTAAAGAAAGGTTTGTCCTAAGTGACGAAGAAAACTTACTAGTGTAAACAAAGCGGTCTTAAGCACATGAAAAAGGTAGGTGAGAATACGAAAATTAGCTGAATTACAGTGGTGCAAACTTCATCATAAAGTGGACATCAGAAATGAATGAAGTTCATTGTCAACCTCCGTTCGCTCAAGCGATGTGAGCAGAGTTGCTTGGATCCATCACCATGGCCAGACTAGGCGGCATAAATAACTAGGTATCTGGCAAAAGGTTGCTGAAGTCTCTCATTCTTCAGTTTGTCGTCTGCTCTTAAAGTACTTTGTTTGCAAGAGGAGCGTTCAGGAGCCAGAAACAGGTTTCGTAAAGCACTGATATTCTTCTTCTGACAAGAATAAACTTTCGAATGAGAAATGTGGCCAGTTAATGAGGTCTACAGGCTTGGTAGACGTGTTGTGTGGGCGTGAGGTTACTACAGTAGCACAACCCAAGATCTCACGTAGGTTGCGGCTGAGAAGCCCAACGCTTTCAAATATTGTGGTGCGGCTTCTTACTGCTCACCGAAGGACATAAAATCCTTCACACCACAACTGAGGTGTGGTTGTCAGAGCTCACCTCCTCAGTTCTACGCCTCCAGGGTCACTGAATACCACATTTACGCAATGCGTTGAAAACCCTTTTGGAGAGGTGTGAATTACCTCGAGGTCATCCCAGAATGAGATCGATTTTCCATGTTGAGGGTGAGTGGATATGTCATTAACATAGGTCAGAAATAGTGATGGTTCAAGGAAACTGCCCCGGGTAACGCCATTTCAGATTCTTTCGAGATAGAAGGTAGTGGGATTTAACCTCACACGGTTTAATCGTTTACTCAGAAGAGACTGTAGTCACTCTAATAATGAGCTATCTACACCAAGGGCATGAGGCCCTTTTAGTAAGACTTTATAGAAAGCTTTAGCGATGTTAAACTATAAGATTAACATGGCTAACCCACAATTACGATGTG